CTTTTTTCACTCCCTCAGCTTATTTTATGGTGATTGTTTAATTCTGGAACAGTATTAGAATCTCCCTTATAGCCAATATGGTCTATACCTTTAATTTAAGAGTTGTTATCCAGCACCCACAATGCATTTCCAGACAGCTTACCATTAATCCATTAGATTTTAGTTTAGATTCATTGGTTGCTACGTTATTTGACCATTTCATAATTTCCCTGTTGCAGGCAAGAGGTCAGATGCCAGTCTGATTGCTTCTTATTTATCTATAATTTGTTCTTTCTGTTGAAAAATTTAAAGATTTTTTCCTACTAATTTTGAAACTTGCTAATTTTACAAGAATGTGCCTACTAGCATCCAATATTTATTATATGCTGGAAACTAAACAGTTTTCACGCATTAATTCATTTTATCTATACAAGAAAACATTATGAGATAAATACTGTTATTACTTCCATTGACAGAAGAGGAAACTAGGCTCAGAGATTAAGTGCATGGCCCAAGTTCAAACAGCTCATAAGTAGTGAAGTACTATAGGCTTCAAGTCCAAATGGTTTGTCCTCAGAATCTGTGCTATCAACCACTCACCATGAATATTTTTTTGAACTTGACTGGAAAATTGAACTTGACTGGATCTTCGTGCCCTCTTTGATTCTGTAGACTTAGGTTTTTTTTTCAACTGAAGAATATATCCTTCTATACTAGATTTAAAAAAAAAAATACTGACTTCCTTTTGTGGTTTCTTTAGTTTCTAGAGCACATGCTTCAGATCCTTTAGGAAATCTCCCTCAATCTACTGCAGTTGGTTTAATTGTACCTGTATGTGTTCATTTTCATGCAGCTGATAAAGACATACCTGAGACTGGGCAATTTACAAAAGAAAGAGGTTTAATGGGCTCACAGTTCCACGTGGCTGGGGAGGCCTCACAATCATAGGAGAAGGTGAAAGGCAACCCTCACAAGGTGGCACAGAAGAGGCTTCCCCTTATAAAATCATCAGACCTCATGAGATTTTTTCACTGCCACCAGAACAGTATGAGGGAAACTGCCCCATGATTCAATTATCTCCCACCTGGTTCCTCCCACAATATGAGGAAATTATGGGAGCTACAATTCAAGATGAGATTGGGTAGGGAAACATCCAAGCTGTATCAGTCCCCCTCCTTCACTCTTTCATAGTACTGTGGACATACTCCAGTTTCAGGTTTACTGAGCACATGTAATATTCTGGTTACTTATCTGTCTCCACTAATAAACCATCAGCTGCTCAAGGGCAGGTAAAGTGTCGTATTCATTAATGTACCCCAAGTATCTATTTCGATGCCTGACATATGGTAGGTGCTCAATAAACCTTGGCTATTACTAAATAAATGGAATAACCTCACTTTCAAATGTACTATGCAATGTTGATTAATACTCTAGCAAGTCCTCCAAACACTTTCCTTCTATCGACCCATGAGTATTTATCTCACAGAGCCAGCTAAGTCTATGCAATGTCTGGTTTACACCTGTATTAATCCCGTCTCACACTGCTATAAAGAACTGCCCAAGACTGGGTGTCTTAAAAAAGAAAGAAGTTTAATTGGCTCACAGTTCAGCATGGCTGGGGAGGCCTCAGGACACCTACAATCATGGTGGAAGGGGAAGGGGAAGCAAGGCACCTTCTTCACCCTGCAGGAAGGAGAATGGACGCAGGAGGAACTACCAAACGCTTATAAAAGCATCAGACCTCCTGAAAACTCACTCACTCTCAAGAGAACAGCATGGAGGAAACCGCCCCCATAATTCAATTACCTCTACCTGGTCTCTCCCTGACATGTGGGGATTATGGGGATTATAATTCAAGATGAGATTTTGGGTGGGGACACAGCCAAACCGTATCGACACCATACATTACAGGGTCACAGTCTGGCAGCACGCTCTTTTTCCCACACAATCAGACTAAAAGCAAAATAATGTTTTTCTATACTCACAGTACTTCTGACGCCAAATGTGTGAGCCTGTTCCACCAAAAATTATCTCCCAGTTCTCCAAATACCCACTAGATTCCCTGCGATTCAATTTCATTGTCATGCTATCTACCTGGAGTTGGTTAATGTCAGATCCCATAAGTTACAGACTCAGTTCTACAAGACTGCCCCCGGTTTACATGCCAATCACAGGTCCAGGCCTCCTGCACCTCTGACAGACTAGCTATAAATCAGGGCTCTCCAACAGCCTCTCCTGGAATTCAATAATGTGCTAGAACGGCTTGAAGAACTCAGTGAAAGTTTATTATTACCTATTATTATCAATTTATTACAAAAGAGATTTTAAAGGATACGAATGAGTTATAGCCAGATGAAGAGATACATAGAGTCAGGCCACAGAGGGTACTGAGCCCAGGAGCTTCTCTCTTTGTGGAGTTAAGGTGCACCACTCTCCTGGAACATGGATGTATTCTTGTTCACCAGCATGGAAACTCTCCAAACCCTGGTGTTCAGTGGATTTGCGCAGGCTTCATTATCCAGGCACGATTGATTAAATCATTGGTCATTGGTGATTGAACTCAATCTCCAGCCTTTCTTCCTTCCCTAGATGTCAGAGGGTGGGGCTGAAAGTTTTAACCCTCTAATCACATGGTTGGCTCCTCTGGGAACCAGCTCCCACTCTCCAAGAATTACCTGCTTAGCGTAAAATCTGACAGAGCTGAGAAAGCTTTATTATAAATAAGAAAAGGGGCTCTGCTCACACCCACCACTCAGGAGATTCCAAGAGTTTCAGGAGTTCTGCGTCAGGAACTAGGGACAAGGCTCAAACATATATATATACACATATATATATATATATGTTTGTGTGTGTATATATATAGATCTATATATATACAAACACACATATATACGTTAATATGTATATATGTGTGTTTGTATATATATAGATCTATATATATACACACACATATGTATATATGTGTATATATATACACATATATACATATATATGTAATATATATATATACATATATATATATATATATATATATATATATATATAGTTACGCAACCCCCGAGCACTGACCCACTGCCTGGGTGGGGGGACTGGGTCTGGGATGGGTACACTTTTCATGGGTGAAATTCGGGAGGAGTACCCAGATGGGATCATAAACACATTCAGTGTTCTGCCCTCGCCCAGGGTGTCAGACACCATGGTGGAGCCCTACAATGCCAGCCTTTCAAAAAAAAGGTGGTTTGAGACCAGGTGTCTAGGCAAAAGTGAAATGATAATAATAATTATATATATGTATATATAATTATTATATATATATATGTATGTAATTATTATTATCATCATTTTTGCCTAGACTGGTCTCAAACCGCCTGGCCTTAAGCAATCCTCCTGCTTCGGCCTCCCAAAGTGCTGGGATTACAGGCTGTATTTCTTATTATGACACAATATTCCATAGACTCTGCAGCACTAATTTTTACGCACATTTTAAACACCCTGGTATTAACAGAAAATATGGAACAGTTTTTAGGAGATGTAGGAACTCCCAGAATCTCCAAAGGAAGGTGCAATCTATGCAGCCAGAGGTGGAGGGGGTCTAGAATATGAGTAATTCTGACTGCAGGAAAACAAAACAAAACAAAACAAAACACGCTCATTCCACATGGAGGGTTACACACCCACAAACCACCTGCTGCCTGTCATAAGGTTGACTCTTGCCATTTCCTTGTCTTTGCCAAAAGCTTTACGCTTTCATCTTAATTGATTAAGATTTATTTATCTGGTATCACCACTCAAACCTTAAAATAAAGGCAAGAAATTGCACCTGGCCTCCATTTAAGCCCTCCATTTAAGACTCTGCCTCCCTTCTGTTGACATTCTTCTTAAGACAGAAAAAGACACCAATTCCCAACACCCACAATCAAGCATATTGACAGAATCTGAGAATACTTCCCACAAAGATGAGTCGGATGGAACCTGACTGACAAAAGCAGCCAAGGGTGTGGGGGACGAAGCAAGTCAGCTGGTCACCTTCCCATTCTGCTCTGCCTTGGGGAGGGAGGTCAGCACCGGTGGTGGGAGCCAGTCCGCTCTCCCTCTGCACTGCAGACACTTCCATCCAGAGGGTGCCTGTGCCCCAGCCCTCCTTCACACCCTCATCAGGACTTGCTTCCACAACTAAAGAGAGCCTGAAGAGTTAGGAATAAAGCTGGCAGAGGTAGTGCATTGCCTCCCAGGAGGTGTAGGCGTCAGACTTAAGCATGAAAATGCCCTGTCATGCTGGGAGACCAAGCTGGAGGAAGCACTGCCAGATGCTGGGAAGTTAGCTCAGCCCTGAGTGTATGTGACATGTGCCTGGTGACATAGAAAAGGGATTCGATATGGCTCCAGGACCCAGAGGACACACAGGAATCCACACACTGTGTATATTAGCAACCATTTTGTTTGGTTAGTGATGAGTCTTATGGTGAAAAATGCAATTCAGAAAAAAGAAAGAAAGGGAAAAGAAAAGGGCACATCATCTTAAAGGCTCTGGGAAATATCAGACCTCTAAAGAAGTAATTTTAATAGAATGTCAGAAGATATGGCCTCTTTGAAGTGGCAATAGGACAACTGAGCAGAAGACAGAATATGAGGTAGAAAAAAAGACACACAGAGAAAAATATAGAGAGAAAAAAAGAGAAAAGATGAACAGATATGAGCAAGATAATGGAAGATTATAGGCAAATAAAAAATATAATAGCAGAAGATGTTGGAAGGAAAAAGTAGAATCGAAATGGCAGAAAAAACAATCAGCAATTGGAAAATAGACTTGAAACGTTTTTCTGGAATGCAAAGGAAAGCACCAGAATGAAAACAGAGGAAAGATGTTAGACACAGAAGACAAAGAATGCAGGTCTAGTGTGAGCACAGTGGTGTCCAGAGAAATAAACCAAAGCAGTGGAAACCAGAGCAGCGGCTGCCATCATAGCTGAAGAGCATGCTTTGGAGGAGAAAGCTGTGCTGTTGAGACCAAAAGTGATCACCAAGTCCCAGGTAAAGCCAGCGACCAGTAGCCACATTCCAGAACTCTATTGTAAACATGTGGGTAACAGGAAACATACCTTACAAGTATGCAGGTAGGAAAACCATCTTACTTATAGTGCAACAGAAAATAAGATGAAAACAATATGCTCACCGATGTCGTCTTCCATTTGTGAAGACAGCAAGAAAACATTCTCAACTATGCAAGAATTCAGAATAGAATACTATGTACCCCTTTGGCACACACACAGCAAATGAGTGAGGAATTTCAGAACCCAGATATGAAAGTGTCAAGGTGTCATCATACTGGCAGGCAGCATTTAAACAAACTCCAGGTGAAGTTAAACCTAAGTAATCGTTTTAAACCATGGTTACAAAATTAAGTGCAAATGTCAGAAGCGATTTTAAAAGAGTAAATACAGGGAGCAGTGTGAAGAGGAAGAGGCGAGAACGACGCCCGGACCGACCAAAGCCCACGCGCTGCTGCATCCCGTGCCCAGCGCCTATATCCCGCCGCAGTCGCCACCACCATGCCCAAGAGAAAGGCTGACGGGGTTGCTAGAAGGGATAAAGCCAAGGTGAAGGACGAACCACAGAGAAGATCCACGAGGCGGTCTGCTAAACCTGCTCCTCCAAAGCCAGAGCCCAAGCCTAAAAAGGCCCCTGAAAAGAAGGGAGAGAAGGTACCCAAAGGGAAAAAGGGAAAAGCTGATGCTGGCAAGGAGGGGAGTAACCCTGCAGAAAATGGAGATGCCAAAACAGACCAGGCACAGAAAGCCGAAGGTGCTGGAGCTGCCAAGGGAAGTGTGTGCATTTTTGATAACTGAGTACTTCTGGTGACTGTACAGTTTGAAATACTATTTTTTATCAAGTTTTATAAAAATGCAGAATTTTGTTTTACTTTTTTTTCTTAAGCTGTGTTGTTAGCACACAGAACACTTCATTGTTGTTTTGGGGGAAGGAGCATATGTCACTAATAGAATGTTTCCAAAGCTGAATTGATGTGGGGAAACGCCTTTCCCTTCTAGTTTTGAGAGGCTTCCTCTTGGCTCCCAGCAGGAGGGATTCCCTGACTTTGATACACATGGCCACCTTGGCACACAAAAGCCTTGTGGATGGAAAAACAAATTCATTTTTACGTCCTCTTCTCCCTTTCCGTCTTTCAGCATAGACTTAACTCCATTGAGCCCAGACATCTGCTGGGACCTGACCCCCAGTCATTGGTTAGCAGTGTGTCAGGCAATCTGGACTTGCCAGTGACACAGAGATGGCAACTGTCAAAAGAGCAGTGATTCCATTTCTAGATTGTGGATCTTCGGATAAATTCTGCCATTTTCATCTCACTTCCTGAAATCAGGGTCAGCTTGTGAAAAGTTGTTAAACAACATGCTAAATGTGAAATGTCAACACTCACTAAACTTTCCCTGTTCAGAGCATCAGATGAAGATTGCATTGGGTTTTATAGTGGCTTTCTGATTTTTGGTAGTCCATCAAACAAGGGAGTTTGAAAGTTGTTGTATACTGTTCACAATTGTCTGCCCATGTCCTGCCTGAAATACCGTGATTGTTTATGGAAAGTATCTTTAATAAAGCTGGATACAGTTTGGCTTAAAAAAAAGGAGTAAATACAGAGTGTAAAAAATGAATATATTGCAACCATTATCTAGATTAAAAACTAAGGAAAAGGAAGAGGGTGTACGGCAAAGTAAAAATGGTGTAAATGTATCATCTTCTGTTGGAAATGTTTTAAAAAGCAACTTTCTTCACTCTGGATAATTAAATAAATGTGGATTAAAATTTTTTTTAAAAAAATCAACTATCACATCTAGATTTCTCTTGTCAACAATTAAGCATGTTCAAATCTCTATAATCCTTTTGTGTATATTTTCTTTTTTTTTTCTTTTTTCGAGAGAGGGTCTCACTCTGTTTCCCATACTAGAGTGCGGTGGCACAAACTCGACTTACAGCAACTTCTGCCTCCCAGTTTCAAGCAATTCTCCTGTCTCAGCCTCCCAAGTAGCTGGGATTACAGGCCAGCACCACTAAAGCCCAGCTAATTTTTGTTATTGTTGTTGTTGTATTTTTAGTGGTGACAGAGTTTCACCGTGTTGGCCAGGCTTGTCTCGAACTCCTGACCTCAGATGATCCACTTGCTTTGGCCTTCCAAAGTGCTGGGATTACAGACGTGAGCCACCGCGTCCAGCCGTTTGTATGTATCTTCAGCCCCACGTCTCCTGCTAACCTGGTGATTGCCAGTCTTGGTTGCACATCAGAATCACCTGAGATCTTTCTAAATTATCTCAGTGCTTGGGTCTGACTCCCATGGATTCTGATTTCATTGGTCTGGAGAGAGGCCTCAGCAATGGGTTTTATTCAAAGCACCTCAAGTAATACTATTGTACAAAGTTGAGAACCACAATTAGCCCTAGTTATGTACTCCCTTTCTCAGCAAAATTCCTAGATTTTCATAAAATCTGTCTTCATTCCCTTTTCTCCTAAACTGTCCTCAAACCACAACAACGAGGTTTCTGCCCCATCACATCTCTGAAATTGTTCTTGCTGAACTGAAGGCCCAGGCGCCAACAACTCTAACAGAGTGTCCCTGTCCTCATCTGAGCTAAGCTCTCAGTGGCTGTAGGTGTGTGTTATGACCCTTCTTTTCCTGAGGCACTCTCTTCCTTTGAATGCTGTGGATGCATGTTCAGCTTTTTCTCTTATTTCTCAGTGTCCTTAGGAGGATCACTCTCCCCTTCCACAAGTTGATGCTCCTGAAGGCTGAGCTGCAGGCTCTCTTGTGAGTGGGAATCTCACTCTTAACCTCCTTCGTGAAAGACGATCTCCTACAAGCCATGACCACAATTTCCATCTCGGCTCTGATTATTGCCAAGTGTGTTTCTCTAGCCAACAAATGTCCTGCAAGCTCCAGGCCACACATCCCACATGCACATGACATCCCCTGTCACCTCCGGCTCTCCTGTCTCTCTCTGCACTCATGATCCTCTCCCTCAATACACCACTCTCCATCCAGCCATCTCTTCGAGCTCTCCCTCATTTTCATGCTCCACATCCAATCCATCACTAAGTCCTACTCACAGACCCTCCTCAGCATCTCCTTTCAAGCACTCCTGCACCTTGATGCAGTGCCACCAATCCCAAGCCACACTGCTGCAGTCTCTCTAGCCTCCAGCCCATCTTTGCCTCAGGTAGGCGTTGAGAGCCGTAGGTCAATGCTATCTGCTTCCTCTAGCTTAAAACTCTCTGACGCCATCCCAGTTTTCTCACGAGAAAGTATGAAGTCCTTAGCCTGGCTCCTGAGGGCTTCTGTGGTCTAGTTCTGCCTCCTCTCCAATCACACCCCACTATCTCCCCTCACTATGCATTCCAACAGTGACCTTGCAGGTCCTCAGGTGTGCTGAGCTGCCTCTTGATGTGGCCTTTGGCCATTCTTCTCCCTCTGCAGAAAAGGGTCTCCCCTACCCCATATGCTCTCCCTCCAACTAACTTCTCTCCGTTTTTGCCTAATCTACTCAAGCATCATTTCTGCATGGAACCCTTCCCTGACTTCACAGCCCACCCTCCTGTCTACCCACCACTCTAGATGTGTGGCTATACCCCCTAGCCTCATACACATGTCATTTTGCTTTTTTACAAAAAACACCATATTTATAATAATACATTTATCTTTGTGTGTTTCGGACTAAACATCTGAAATGTCACACAGGGCAAGAACTCCTTGTTCCCAGAGCCTTTTAAGGAACAAGTGCTCAGCAAATGTTTGAGGAAAACTTGTTAAAGCAAATTAAATGTGGCCTGAGAAGGATTCTGCACTTCTATATTTGAGTCCTTGTGGATGAACTGCAACCTAATTTAATAGGTAGACAAGATTGCAAACCTAACTTAGGAATATGTACCTGTAACAATAGCTGAGTCTTGGCCAATCCCAGCAGCCTTACTTGAACCATACACTGCTCAGTGTTCAAATAAGGCAAAGGACAAGCCGTAACCGATCCGGCTGTTCTGTACCTCACTTCCGATTTCTGTATGTCATTTCCCTTTTTTTTTGTTGTTTTTTTGTCTATAAATCTTCCACCACGTGGCTGATCTGTATGTAGTCTCTTTGAATCCGTTAGGATTCTGGGAGCTGCCTGCCTGGTTCATGAATTGTTCATTGCTTAAGGCAACTCCCTTAAATATAATGCATCTGAAGTTTTTCTTTTAACAAACTAAATCTAAAAATTGTTTTACATAACAGAAGTCATTTTAAAAATGAAATTGTAAGGAATTACAAAGAAATACACAAAACATAAAACTACGTAATGTTAAATTCAACCATATCTATTTTGAATATAAGTATAAATGGTTTAAACCTGTTGTCATATTCAATGATCACATAAGGACATGTAAATTTTCATGTAATATAATAGCAAAAAAAACAAAAACAAAAACAGTATACAAACAAATCTTAATTTCTACCTGTTCCCCAAGAAAAAATGGAAAGGAACCTCTAAAATGTTAACAGCAGTTATTCTGGGTAGTAGAATTATAGATGATTTTCATTTCTTCTTTATATTTTTCAGAATTGTCTATGTCATGTATAAAAAAATTAATCTTTTTTTTCTTTTTTTTTGAGACGGAGTTTCACTCACGTTACCCAGGCTGGAGTGCAATGGCGCGATCTCGGCTCACCGCAACCTCCGCCTCCTGGGTTCAGGCAATTCTCCTGCCTCAGCCTCCTGAGTAGCTGGGATTACAGGCNCAACCTCCACCTCCTGGGTTCAGGCAATTCTCCTGCCTCAGCCTCCTGAGTAGCTGGGATTACAGGCACACGCCACCATGCCCAGCTAATTTTTTGTATTTTTAGTAGAGACGGGGTTTCACCATGTTGACCAGGATGGTCTCGATCTCTTGACCTCGTGATCCACCCGCCTCAGCCTCCCAAAGTGCTGGGATTACAGGCTTGAGCCACCGCGCCAGGCCAAAAAATTAATCTTTTAATCAGAAAAAAGTTATATCTGTCCGTTGTGTTTTCTGTGTTTTCTGTTACAGGTTACAGAAAACCGAATTCAAAGTGGGTTAAATGATAACAGGAATGTATGCCTAACATAACTGAGAAGGTTTGCTTATGATTTAACCTGCTTTAATTTCCTTCAAATTTCTTGTTTTCAGTCCATCTCTGTGATTAGCTTTATCCCCAAGTTGACTTTCCTCATACTGGTAAAATAGCTGCAGTGGTTCCGGGCTTCCCATCCTCATAACATACAGAAGGAGAGAAGCCATCTACGTGCCACTCTGATTGGAGCAGCTTAGGACATGGGCCTACTTCTGAACCAATCACTGTGGCTGGGGGATGCTGCTAGGTGATTTCTCTTCAGCTGGAGCTGAGGGTACAGTCGGCCTCCCCAGAGCCACATGTGTCACCAAGCAGAGATCCAGGGCTCTTGCAAATAGCTGCAGGGGGTGTGGAAGCCTCACAGACATGTCAACTGCAAACATTTCGAAGTAAAATACTGCTTACCTAATTTTAAAAATTAAAAGGCACCATGATGCAGTGAGAACAGTATTGGGGCCATTGGGAGGCCTGAGTTCAAAGTCATCTGCCGCTGACTTTGACTAGACACAAGATCATGGACAATTCTTTATCATTCTGCATGTTTCCTACTCTATAAAATGGTGACCTAAGAGACCTTTCTCCATTGTCATAGGAAAGGAGCAGGGTAATATGGAGGCTGATACGAATTTGCAGATTTGGTGGCAGGAAGGTAAAGAAGCTGCCCCCTGAGGGCTTCTAGTTTTCAGTGTAGGTCAGGAGGTCTTCCCTTGGGCAGGAGGTGAAGGAGGGGTGTAAGAGGCTTACAGGGAATAGAGAAGGTTTAAAATGCAAACAAGTGAGAGAATAAGTTTGAAAAAAAAAATAAAAGCTATACCATAGAGTTTTATGATTTAAAACAAAAACAGCTATGGGTGGGAAATGCACTTTACAAATGTGAAATAGGATCATGAGAGAAACCAGTGGTTTACAAAAGGGTTCACTGACCAGAAATTTGCTTTGGATTTTTAAAAAATGCAGATATTCTATTTCAGTAAGACCTCTTTATAAAACTATGCACAAGGACTTTTGCATGGATCACAAGTATTCCCACAGAATTCTAACTAGTGGCTGGGTGGCATGAAAATTTACCTAACCTTTGAGTGTCATCAAAACTAAGCAACTGATGTTAAATTCAACTCAGCCTAGACAAGATAAAACTACACAACAATGACAAC